GCTGTGCCAGAGGGTAAGGCTGGAGAGGTGTGCACATGTTGGCAGAAAACCAGCCTCTATCAAGCAGCAGGTAACAGTGACACAGCTGTCACCCCCCAGTGCTCTCCAAGGGAGGCTGCAGGGCAGTCCTGAGAACAGCCCTTGTGCCAGGCCATGAAGCCGCTGTTTGGGGAACTCTTGGAGCTCCTTTGTCCCTCTGCTGTACCAACAAATACCAACACTCTTGGATTTGCCATTGCCTTTTCTCTCCCTGAGAGTGCTGATAATCAGGCAGACAGCACTGCAGGGAAGCAAGGTCTGGCTGATGCACTGGTGCTGCACGGAACCTGCAAGGGTCAGGCTGAACAGGGGGACTCCCACGAGGGGCAGAGGTCACTGTGACACTGTCACTCCTGGTGGCAGCACGGGGCATCCAACAGCTGCAGCACAAAGTCCCTCAGAACTAATGGGCTGAGAGCAGAGGAACCAGTGAGGTATCTCTGCTGCACGCCGTGTCACAGGGTGACAGTGGCAGTGTCTGACCCTGCCAGCTGGCCTGACATGGGGGAAGACTGTCCCAGCCACCACCTACAGCCCAGGAGGGACAGGACAGGCTGCAAATCTCACTGACAGAGCCCATCCCTGCCCCCAGACACCCAGAGCTTAGTGTTCATACAAACAGGGTGGCATCCTGAAAGCAGAGGCTCCTAAAGCACTGGCTGCTTCATAAATCTGTTACCAGCTGCAGGTACAGCTGTGTGGGGGTGTGGAGAGCACCTGGCTTCCTAACACTGGCTGCCAACCACACACCAAAGGCCTCAGAGCACAGGTCACTCTGGTCACACTGTGCCACTGCTGCTCCCATCCCTCTCCACATCCCCGTGTACCAGCCAGTGCTGAGCCCCACATGTGCAGTACCTGGGATCCACTCTCACTCTATTCTCTATTTTCTGATAATATACAAATAGTATTTCCTATAGGAGATCATGTTAACTGCAGCAATGATAATGGATGGTAAACTCTTTACACCCAGAATAAAAATGATCAGGCAAATGACTATACTTCTTACATGCAATTACAGAATAGTTCCTCAAAAACACAAAGAGCCCCCTGAAAAATGAGCTGAAAAGACAACTGGCAGAAATCAGAAGGGAAGGGCAAGAGTGAAAGATGTGATTTGCCAAGAGGATTGGGATTTTCTAAGTGTAGAATCAGACTCAGGAAGAGAGAGATTAACTAACAGAAGTGCAGAAAATATCCTTTATGGACTTGGAAGCTGAGAAGCAAGGAGTGGGAGCACCAAAAGAGCTAAAGAAGATTTAAACCATCCTACATCCCCAGAGCAGAAACAGCTCATGAGGCTGAGCACACACCTGAGTCAAGGACAGGTAACACAAAGCTGCTCCTCTGCTGTGCCACCACAGCTCTGCTGCAGAGCTGCATCTTTCCTCAACCTGTGCTCCACTGGCCAGCCATGCTCCAGGCTCTTTTTCCTCCAGGTTTTAAGCTGATCTGTGGCATGAGACAAGAGCCATCAGGTCAGCCAGCAGCCTGCACAGCACAGGGCAGCTGGAGCACAACCTCCTCCTCCTGGGGGCTGGCAGAGCCTCCACAGCTGGTGGGATGAGCCAAACCCACAGGCCACACAATCATGTGGCACCTGGGCTCTCACCTGCCTGACAGGTGTTTTTCAAAACTAGAGACTACTGCTCATTGTGAAAAACCATCAGGCATTGCACTGATCAATGCAATCATTATCGACTCCTAGGTTTGGCACACCTTTATTAGTAAAATAAGACTTTCTTTTTGAAACTGGAATGTCTAAAATTGACAATAACTCACTGTAGCCATGAATTTAGTCTACCTGAATTTTCCCATAGGAACCTTAGAGCAGAGCACCCCACAAATGTGACACCAAATGCGCACTGCACTCATGTGTTACTAATTACCAACCTGCCATGCACAGTCAAGGGAAATTTAATTTACACCGGTCAAGGCTGACAGAAATAGCATTGCTCAGAAGAAACATTCAGCTAAAAGAAATAACTCATAACTTAATGCTCTCTTAGAAGTTTCTGCACAAAAATTTAAATTATCCCAATGTTAGCTTTCAGGTTACTCTTGTATCAGAGACATAAAGGGAAAACCTTTTAGAATTGCAAAGCAGCAGTAAGGAACGACTTATGTTGTATTTTAATATTTTCATTTTTGTCACTATGTCTCTCCCCTTCCACCTGCAGGTTTCACCCAAACTTGGTGAACACACAAGCCAAAGACTGGCATTAGAAATGTGTGAGCTGTGTTCCTGCTCCCCAAATAACACCAAGAAGCAAGAACACTTTCAGCATCTGCCCATCATAGCTTGTTCACATTTTGGTCCTTGTCAAGTACCTGGTTTTTATATTAGATAAACTGAAACCAAAATTCCAAGCCTGCCTGTATACTGTGTAGCATATTACATATATTGCATTCTGATGGCCTTGAATCTAGGATGGCAAGAAAAATCACCTTTTAAATTATGTGATAGAGATTTTCAAGCTATTGACAAGCTCCAGTGTACTCATCTCACTTTTCCATAGGTCTGTAACTATCCCTGCTGTGTCTGCTTTATCTGTGCTTTTTGTCCTTCTAGAACATCCCTCTGAGATGATTTACAGCCAAGACTCAGCCCTCATCTGCAGCTCTGTGTGTTGTAAGGGTTCCTCAAACCTGCAGCATGTGCAGCATCACCAACTTCAGCCCAAAGGATTTGCCCACTGAAGAAACATGAAAACCCCGCTCTGCCCATACACTGGGTTTGTGGGACTGTTCTCCTAATTCAAGACACAACTGCTAGGGAAAAGTATGTTTCAGAAGAGGAGTATTACTGTAAACCCTTAAATGCTGTTTCCATGTAATTTGGATATTAGCTGGCACAACCCAGCACTCTGTAATTCCAGAGATGGAAGGTGAGGAAATTCAGCAGCTGCAATGTGAAGTTTTATAGCCAGGTGAATCTTTGCACCTTTTACTCTCTCCAGACTGTATTTCTCAATCTGTCTAGGTACCCAGAAACCTGAATTACAGTCTGATTTCTCAAACTGTCACTTTTTCTTTTAATTCCACACAATCTGAAGATGCTGTTAAAGACCTGAGGCCAAGAGCTTGCCTGGCTCGTATCTCAGTTGTTTAAACTGTTCAACACTGTACGCCTTATTTAGATGCCCTGAATTATAGTTACAAAGATTTATTTATTAATGTTGCAATATAGAACATTCTTAAGCTTAAAACAGGTCTAACAAACCTATACAGCTTTTATTCCTGTTTTATGCTCAAATAAACGCAAACCTAATCCTTCCTTCAAGTCTCTGAATAACACTAAGCATATTAAATTCAACATCATGAAATTCATATTAAGTTCAACATCTCTGAATTGTAGAACCTTGTTAAGCAACACTCACATTTTTATTACCCTGAGTTTCTCCTTGGTGGGATGTGAAGCACATTCCCAAAGGCTGCCACAAGAGGAAGAAAGAACTCTTAATGGGATCCTCCATGACAGCTCAGTGCAAGGAATTTGCTAGGGAAGAAGTGGAAAAACACCTATTGATGATTTAATTTCAAGCAAGGAGAATCAGACAACTGCAGTCATTTACCTTGTTTTTTTCTAAACATATCCCACTAAAACATATCTAAATTGTATCTTTGTATTACTGCACACTGTTTATGTTCCCTCATTCCAAACATGCCCTCTTGGTAAATTCTGCAGTGCTGCCAGCATTAGGAACACCTGAGGCCACTGTCACCTCCAGCTGTGGAACACCCTCCTTTGGTGCACAGAATCCTGTACACTGGAATTACACAGCCCCACACAGCACAGCTGGAAAACCCTCCTGCAATGGAAAACCTTTAGCCTTAAGGGTCCCTTTATGGAAAGTAGAGGGTGTCAGTTCTGGCAGGGCGTTTCTGAACAAGGAAATAAAATATCCTTACTTGTGCAAATCAGAATTTCCCACAGGAGCCCTCTGAAAAAGAGCTTGCCTTTGTTTCCTGTTCTGAACACAATACACTCACCAGAAATCTAAGCTGGCTGAACAACTTGGGTTTTGTGGTGGTGCATCAACAGATATTTCAAAACAGGAAGCAGAACACAGGAGCACAGAATGGTCTGGGTTGGAAGGGACTTTGAAGATCATCTCATTCCAGCCCCCCACATGGGCAGGGACTCCTTCCATTAGTCCAGGTTGCTCAGGGCTCCATCCAGGGATGAGGCATCCAGAACTTCTCTGGGCAACCTGTACCACAGCCTCACCACCCTTACAGTAAAAATTTCTTCCTACTATCTAATCCAAAGCTGCCCTCTTTCAGTTTAAAGCTATTCCCCTTTGTCCTGTCACTCCATGCTCTTGCAAGTGTCCCTCTCCATCATTCTCCTCTCAGGAAATAGTCAATTTCCTTCAAAGAATGCAATATATTGATGCATACCACTGCTCCCTCCTTTCAGCTTTTTTCCAGCTGAAAGGTTGTGATTTTTGGGATGTTTTGACCTGCCTCTAGTCACATGGGATTTGAACTGGATCTGCCCTGGTACACTTGCAAATATAGATGACATGTGTCAGAAACAACTCTTCACAGGTTCAGTGTGCTCAGATTAAGCTGGACACTGATTTACAGAGGTAACATGTAAAAGAACAAGGTAATGTTTTCCTCATTATGATACTAACCCATCACTTTGAATTGCAATGTGCTGGAAAGCTAAAAGGAACAGCACTTAAAACTGCCTGACAAAGGCAAAACCTTTGGAGAAAGGAATACAGATGTATCAGAGAAATAACCACAAAGGTGACAGAAAATAAAGGCACTGCACCCAAAGAGATGGCACCAGTGAACAGCCATGGGAAGAAAAGCAGCACAGACAGGGAAATAATTCAACACAGCAACCAGCAAAAGTCTAAAAGGGGGGAAAAGGGGAAGAAGCAGAAGGAAAGCTGAAGTTGCCTGCAGGGAATGAGCTTGCAGGCCATGAACAGAGGGAGACTTACTGACAGCAGCTTTGTCCCACAGGGATCCCCCAGCTCCAAGGACAGCTCAGGGTCCTGGAGGTGCCAGCTCAGAGGGCAGCTCCTGCTCATCAGCTCTGTGGAGAAAGCAAATTGTAACAAGTCAGGGAAACACCTCCTTGCATTTAGAGTGCTTCCTCCCACCAGGGCTGTTTCAAACATCTTGTCAAGTGCCCGACTTGTCCACCCAATTAAAATTTGCCATTTGTCTGACTATCTGTACTAATTACTCCTTCCCCCTGCAATCTGGGATCTTCCTGTCTGTGAGGAAGAGAAATGCCAACATTTTCTACAGAGGCTCAAACAGGTGTGGTCTCTAGTGGGGGCTATCAAAGACCAAATATTTCTGTCTGCAAAGTAATTATGTTCCTGAAGGGCAACTTCTTGTTCAGGAATGTTGCTGAACAAAACCACCGGCAGAACCTGCACCAAAAGCTCCTGAATGTTGTTTAAAACACAACACTCTCCTGATGTTTGCCACACTGCATCAGCTGGGGCAAACACGTTACCTGTGACAGCAGCTCCAGAGGCTGTGAGGAGACGCCGGTGACCAATTACAGACTCAGCTCCTGAAAATCAGAGAAAAGGGAAGGACCAAAAATTTATCAACCAACCCTACCAGATCCTGCCTCCAGCCACGACGCAGGAAACAGCATCTCCTCTTTGCCCTAGCCAAAAAGAAATAGAATCAGCTATAATAATACAACAAAGCAAGGGAGGCTACCAACAATGAATTAAAATTGATTGCATCTTCAATACAGCACTTTATCTTACTTCTTTTAAAATGTTTGTGCAAGCCAGAGTTTCTCATGACTTAAAATTATTTCATATTTAAAAGGAAGAAAGCTGAGGTAATAAGGGAGACCTGATACACATCCACAAGAAAGTGATCCTCTACAGTAATACAGTAAAGAACACACATTTTTCTTCAAAATTTTATTTTAATTTAAATTATGGGGCCAGCCAGATTTTTTGGGTACGAAACATTTTCCTCAGGAGAAATGAAATGCTACCACGGAAATAGAATTACAATTGTATACATCTCTTATTATTAAAAAAAAAAAAGCAAAAAGAAAAAAAAAGGCAAAAAAAAAAGAGCTTGCATTTAAATATGCTTTAGTAATACCCTTAAGCCTTCAAGCAGATAAGAAACCACTTCCAGAACAAGTTTTTTAATATGAACAGCACATCGAAGGAGCTTTAATTTAAATACAACTTCTTTTCGAAAGCCAACATTCAAATGTTTCCACATATTAAAAAAGTCACCATAGCCATTGATTCCAAGGCCTACTATAGAGAAACCTCTATCCCAGTCCAAATGTTTTCACTTCTTTACACATAGAAATCTTTAGCATGTCTACATCTTTCTGAAGAGGAAGCCTTACATGTTATGGTGAGTAACTTGACAAATAATGTTTCCTCCACTCAGCTATGATAAACCAAAATCTAACAGACAGTTAGTACTGAGCTACAACACCACCTCATGCCAGCTCTGCCTGGCATCTCTGGGAAGAGTCAGCTACTTTCTTTCCTGTAAACAAAATGATTCTGTTTGCAAAGGACTCGTTAAGAACCTTTAAAAGACCAATTCTAATGTTAAGAGCAGTTTTAACCAACCGAGTGAAAACACTCAATTTTCTGGAGCTCTGGGATTTTCCTTGTGAAGGCTTTCAAATCAGTTCAAACATCACTGATTGTGAAATATTTCAAATGGGAAGAGGACAGGAAGCAAGAAACATTTTCTGTAGCATTCACAATCATTCAGTCATGCAGAATTGGAACTTCCAGACCCCAGTCCATAAGTTTTTGCTTGGTTGTGATCTCAGCGTTACTATATGATGGATAGATACAATTTTAATAACATCATTTAGCTATATTTAGTAGATTCCTTTTGTATGGTCACAGTAACAAAAACATGGTGCAAAATCAGTTGGGTTTTCTGTTTTTATAAATACTGATAGTTTGCAGCAATGAAGAACAAAATCAACAAAAATTAAATCATTTTGTTATCCTAGGACACCTATGAAACTGCTTCTCGAGGTCGGAGGGAATGAAATCACTCAAACAACTATTGTACTGAGTTATTTACTGTAAGAAATGATGCACTGCAGGCTCCCCAGAAGTCAGAGGAATCAATATTAATTTAGCATAATCCTTGCCATTTGCAGAGCTGGTGAGCACAATGCTAGTGTAATTAAATAAGGCCAATATTATCTGGTAAGAATGTAGCAGAAAGGGTTCCAGTTCTCTGTTTCAGTCTACCCTCATTGATGGCACCCCATTAGATACATGAATACAAAGAATTTGTTTGGGTTTGGGTGTTTGTTTCCTTTTAAATGCCGCAGTACTTAAGATTGTTAGATCAGCATTTCCATGTGATCTGAAGTATTCAATTACATATGAGCATTCATTTTGCAAAACTCAATATTAGGTAATAGTTACAGACTAATACAATAACATTCCTCTGCTGTACAAATTAAATCATATTTTAAAGAAATGAGCAGCCTAGGAGTTATATACAAAAGAAACCAGCAAGCATTGTTGAAATGAAATGCAAAATGTCACTGCTAGGTCTACTGTCTGAAATACCTTTGAAGAAAAATAAACAAAAACCCTTAGAACATATTTCCAAGTTTACAAGTCAAGTCTCAAAAAAATCAAATTATGTCCAAAAAAATTCTATAAAGCAGTGAAAGGCATATATACATTTTCCTTATGAACCTTGAGATTCCACTCTTTTAAAAGTTGCTAAGTTTCAATATCAGTTTATTTGCAAGACAACTGTTTATCCCAATAAGCTCACATCTTAGATACATTTCCCCTTTGATTACAAATAAAGCACTGCACATTTTTTTTTTTTTTAAATCAAGGCATATAATCTTATACTATGGTGCCAGGTATGCACAGGTCATGTTGTGCTCATTATCTCAAACAAGGTTAAGTGCAAACATACAGATTTATTCAGATTTGCAAGCATGCAACCTGTTACTTAACTACATGAATACCTTCTCTCCTAGACCAAACTATTATCTATATGTTTGCTTTCACGAACCTAGAATCTTTCTTTTCAGGACTCCTAAAACAAGCAGTGTCTTTGAATTCTGAAATGACACAAATATCAAGAAAGTCCACATTGTGCAAGAAAGCAGCAGCTATGTTTCTCAACTTGGACTAAAAATGAAAAGAGAAAAACAAAAACCGTTCACTGAACAGCAGATTAGCAGTAATGTTCCTCATGAATCGATAAGAGTGCCTGATGCTGAATATCTAACAGCAAATGCTGAATTTGGGTTTAATATTTTAAAGGTTTATTGGAGTTTAAGCTTCTTGCTGTGCTGGTCTCTTCAAATCCCTGATCTGTTTAACTAAATAGGTCTTCTCATCATTAAATTGTTCATCCTCGGTCCTGTCATTCTGAAACTTGCTGAGGAACTCAATAAGTTTGGTCTGGTTCTTTAGAAGGATGTCTAATATAGGCTGTGTCTTGTTAGGATTGGCTACAAACACCTGCAAGAAAATAAAAGACATTGAGCACAACAGCAAGAAACAAAGGTTAAGTTAAAAAAAATTACCTAACAAAATACTGATGATGATCAATTAAAACTATGTTTTAATTATTCCAGTATCCTACCAAAAAACCTGCAATTTTAAAAATAAAATTACTTTTTTTTTTAAATCAGGGCATAAGCTAAATATCAGTACCAAAGTAAATCTAGTCTGTGGGAGGTGACCAGCCACAACAGCCTCTGCAGAAACCACTGAAGACACTTTATGGTTAAATTCTATGGCAAATGCATGTTTTCATACCATGTGCAGCATCTGATGGGAATCTCACACTTCACTGCAAAGTTATAGACCTCAAGTTATAACTCTTAGCTGCCTGTCTGCTGCAGTCAGAAGCCATCTGTCATAATGTTCAAATTACAATTCAGGTGACCTGACTGAAATACTGCTGTCCTTCAGAGATCATGCAGTGTGATAAAACCACTTTAGAACTCCATGATTTTGTATGGAATTGTGCATTCCTCCTTATCTTCATGCATTCAATTCCAGAAGTTTCTGCGAGATGTTACTCTGACAGTCACATGGAAGTCCCTAAATGATTTCTGAATGGTTTTCAAAAGATAACCAAGATATCTATTTGTAAAGATGGATCATAATCAAGCAAACATCAGTGCTCCCTTTATTTAATCACTTAGCAGACACTAAGGTAAGCTCCACTTAGGCTCAGTTAAGCAGTTTACTCAATTAAACAACTTCTGGTCAGATTCCTTCTGTTTCATGGTGGGCTTTTGTAACATACCTTGAACACATGGAAGGCCTCAAATTGAATGTTACGACTCTTGTCTCGTAGAAGGTTCATCATTAGTTTGAGATTTTCAGGTTTACTGATGTACTTTGTCATAATTGTGAAGTTGTGTCTGTCCAGTAACAATTCACCGAGAAGCTGAAGGCAGAAAAGAATGAAAAATGGAAGAACTACTAACAGATTGAATTTGTGTATGAATGCTTTCAGACCCCCTGAAGTGGTGTGGTGCTCTGTGAATGCAGCACCAGTGGTCAGGAGATAAAGCAGCAACAGAACTAAGTGCCCAGACTTCCATGTGCAGGTGCATTTTCCCCATATTTCAACGACACAGTTTCTCCTTTTCCTCAGAAAGTGAAAAATCACACTTATTCCCCCTTGTAATGAATTGTAAAGTCTTTCATTTTTTTCTCCCCCATGACTTCATTATTTTCTCCACTTATACAGAAGCTATTCAGCATAGAAAGAACGCCTTAAAAAAAAAAAAAAAAAAAAAAAAAAAACCAAAAACAAAAAAACCCCAAAAAAACCAAAACCCCAAAAAAAACAGGTTAGTACATCAAATGAAATATTGATTGTTCTTTTGCTACCTAAAGGGTTTAGAAGCATTTTGCTCACAAAGATCACCTTTGCTGCAAGCTCTGCATTACATTTATGTTCACTATTTCTTACCTACTTGAATCAGTATGGTTTTAGGCACATCATGTGTATCTTTGTTAAATTATTTAAATGTAACCAGACTTGTTGAAGGAAACAAAATCAACAAAAATAAAGAAAATTGAGGAGCCATTTTTTCATAGGGAGAGGAATTACTTTGGTCTGTGTTGGACACTGAAATATGTAAGAACTGGACAAAAGAAATTAGCTGATCCCAAGAATTAAAATGCCTGAAGAATGAAAATAAATACTATTCAAGGCTGTTACAGAAGCCATTTCAAAAAAAGTTAACTCACCTTGAAAATAAAGGGAACCTCTCTGCATTTAAGAAGAAAATAAAATTGCCTTACCTTAAGTGACTGTCTCTTTGTCACATAATTTTCTGAATGAAGTAACTTCTCATATTCACTGAAGAACTAAACACAGAATAAAGAGAAGGGTTAGGACTTTTTCAAGCATCATAGGCATCTTCTTCCAAATTATTGCAACAAAGTGGAGAAGAGGCAAATCCCTAACAAAACCAAACAGAATCTGAAACCTCAGTAGGTTCCTGTAAGTCACTACGTTGTCACTACTTAGGCTTTTA